CATTCTGTGAATTCATCAAGGACTTGGTGCTATACGGGACGTGGCAGAGGGATTACAGATTCCATAGCAAACACAGGCCCTGCTGTCCAGGGTCTTGGGAGCTCAGCTAGTGCGTGGGCATTAGTCTTTGGTGGCTGGTTTCCGCATCTGGGACTTACTACTCAGCAGGGATGGCACATGTGTCATCCTTGCAGGCACCTCCATGCTCTGCCCTATGTTGTCAGAATTAACTCTTTAGTTCCCTAATGGTGCATCTGATCAGGACATGGGGACATGGACCCTAGATATGAATAAACTCAGTTGGCCAAAGCTGCAAGTCTAAGATTCAGACCAGGCAGGCCAGAACTCTAATCCTGGTTCTAGTCACCAGCTCTGGGTTATGGAGCAACACTCTCAGAAACTTCTTTTCAGTAATGGGTAAAACGCGGTTGAAAATGTCCCGCTCAAAGGGCTGTGGGAGATGTAACTGAGATGGTGAATGGAGACACATCCTTCCTTCCCCCAGGGCTCATGTCTGCTATTTCATTAGCATTGGCTACCAGCCCAACTATGGCTCCAGGGGCTGTGGGTGGATGAAGATGGCCTGTGTCCTTTCTTGCCCAACCACAGCCTGGCTGTCTCTGCTCCTCCCAGATGCATGGACCTGAACAATGAAGTCCCAGGATGGGGGAGATTTGGAGGTGCTCTCTCTTTGCCTAGTTCACACTAGCAATGGGTTTGTGCATCTTGAATTTGATGACCACTGGAATGACCACTCCCAAACCATGCAAGGATCACTTTAGATTTGACACTGTTTATCTAAGGAACTCTTAAAAAAATCAAAACATAAATAACTCATAAGCTGAATTGTGTGTTTTTTGTAGATATATTTACTTATATTTTTCAAAGCTTAGTTTACAGAAGATACTCAAAACATTTTTTGCTTCCTTCTGCCACAGAAGCCACACATCTGCATCATTTCCAGGAGACTGTGTTGGGGTGATTATGATCTTTCTACTGATCTTTAAAAAAAGGAAACAACAAACAAAAAACCAAGAATCTGGTGTTGGTTGCAATCCATGTGTTGGTTCAACTCTTACAAAGGGATTTTATCCTTATGTGAAAAGTAAAAAGTTCCTCTTCAAAGTTTCCCTTTTTGTTAAAGTATAAATAATAAGTGTTAGAAATAATAGTTTCTTTTAAAAACTAACTTCCTTCAAGCTTCCTTGCTTTTTATTAATAACTCTTTGTTAAGCCCTATGTAGCTAATTAATATAGTAAGGGAATAAGTACATTCTATGTTTTTGTAGTTTAACCAAGTTATTCGTTCTGACCTATAGCCTGCTCAGACATGTCCAAATATGCCCAGGCATTTCCTGGCTTGCAGCCTATGCCTCTTCCTTATTTGGAAATATTATTCTCCTAGTTTCCTGTAAACAACTCCCTTCCTTTCTTTGTTCTCCATCACATGTTTACCTATTTAGGAACATTTTACATTTTTAGCCAGTCGGGATCAGTCTAGATTGTGCGATCCAGCTCCAGCCAATGAAGATAGGACACAGCAGTAAGAACCCAATGTGTCAGGGATAAAAATCTCTGCTTTTCTTTGTTCAGGATACTCTCATTAAAATCAGGCTTCTGAGAAGCACCCTTTCTGCAGAAAGTAAAATTGCCTTGCTGAGAAAATTTTTTGAGCACTAATTCTTTTTGGCACCAAGGAACAAGCATTTTGCGTCTAACAAATTTCGGGGCTCATTCAGGATTCCCAATCTCCTCTGGGGAAAAGAGTTCCGGTCCTTTCCTGTGAGGAGGTGTGCCCCGCTGCCTTCTTGCAGCAGCCTCAGGGGTAAGAAATTGAGACCCACCCAGTGTGACGAATAAACACAGCCTCTCAGCAACACAGGAAGAAATAAGCCAGCAACTTGGGGGAAAAGATCACCACATATCATGGCGACCAGGTAACTCTGTGCACAGACCAAGGTAAGAGATGTCGTGTGAGTGGCAAGGTATTTCCTTGGTGGTCGGGACATACCAAGGCAAGAAAAGCTGCTGGGGTGGTGAAGTATTCCTTGGTCAGGGTATGTTGGAGATTAAAAAGAGGGAAGAAATCTCCATTAGAGGGGATTGAACCTCACACAAACCTCCAGTAGTAGGGAAGGTGAGAAATTTCCAGTAAGGGAAATTGAGCCTCACTCCAAAACCATCAAGATGGGAAATAACCCAAGTAAGGTAAGGAATAAAATGGATAAAGCTAGCAACAATAACAAGTCTAGAATTAGAAGACCCCCTCAAATGAGGGATGTTGAAGCTTCATTTTGTAACTAATAGTTGACCAGATATTAAAGAAATTACAAAAGATAGACCTATAGAAGAGCTTCTGAGAAGCCCAAAAAGTATACGTAAAAAGAGATGAAGGAAAAACAAAAGCAGAAAGCAAAAATTCTGCTGTCCACCATACAACAAAGTACCCAGGGGACCAAAACGTATGAAAAACCCAAACCCCTACTCTCCAGGCAATATAAAGTGTATGAAAGAGTAAAGCCAGGAGACTCAAGGAAAAAAAAAAAAGAAAAAAAAAACCCCTAGGGAAATAGTAAAGAGAAAAGCAATACCCTATTCCTTTAGAAGCCAGGGTAAAATTAAAACCTATAATTAAAGATCTTCTCTGTGATGGGCTTCTTAAACCCTGTACGTTCCCCTGTAACACTCCAATGCTGCCTGTAAAGAAGCCAGATGTGTCATAGCAGTTAGTACAAGACCTTAGAGCTATTAATCAAATAGTCCAAACTACACACGCTATTGTTCCCAATCCTTATTATATTATCAATAGGATCCCATACAGCCACCAGTGGTTTACAATAATATATTTAAAAGATGCCTTCTGGGCTTGTCTGTTAGCAGAGGGCTTCTGGGCTTGTCTATTTGCCTTTGAGTGAAAAGACCCTCACTCCAGTCAAAAACTGCAATACCCGATAAACAGTCTTACCCCACAGGTTTATGGAGTCTCCAAATTTATTTAGTCAAATATTAGAACAAGTCATTTAATTAGCAAAGGTAAATGGAAAATTGAGCTTGAATGGATTGAAAGCATCATATCCTTGCCTCTGCCGGAGACTAAACAAGAACTTAGAAAATTAGGATTAGTCAGATACTGTCATCTATGGATAGACTCTTATGCCCTAGAAACAAAACCCTTATACAAAAAGCTCATACAAGACAGGCCAATGTTCTACCCTTAATTTGGCAATTACCAGAAATCCAACAAGTGGAAAAGTTAAAACATCTATTAGTAATTGCCTGTGTCCTAACTTTACCCTCCTTAAGCAACCATTCCATCTTTTTGTCAATGTAAACTAGAGCATAGCATTAGAAGTACTTACCCAAAAGCATGGAGGCCACTGGCAATTTGTAGCCGTCCTATAAAGATTCCTTAACCCAGTAATCTGCGGATGGCCCAGATGCATTCAATCTGTAGCGGCAACTGCTTTGCTAACAGGAGAAAGTAGAAAAATAACTTTTGGAGGAAACCTCATTGTGAGCACACCTCACCAGGTCAGAACTACCTTGAGTCAGGAAGCAAAAAGGTAGCTTACTGACTCAAGAATCTTAAAGTATGAAGCTATCGTGTTAGAAAAAGATGATTTAATATTAACCAGCTGGGTGCGGTGGCTCAAGCCTGTAATCCCAGCACTTTGGGAGGCTAAGGTGGGTGGATTGCCTGAGCTCAGGGTTTGAGACCAACCTGGGCAACAGTGAAACCCTATCTCTACTAAAATACAAAAAAACTAGGCAGGTGTGGTGATGGGCACCTGTAGTCCCAGCTACTGGGGAGGCTGAGGCAGGAGAATCACTTGAACCTGGGAGGCAGAGGTTGTAGTGAGCTGAGATTGCACCACTGCACTCTAGCCCGGGTGACAGAGTGAGACTCTGTCTCCAAAAAAAAAAGAAAAGAAAAGAAAAAAAAATACATTAACCACTGATAATTTGCTTAACCCAGCAGATTTCCTAACAGGAGATCAAAATCTAAAGAGAGCGCATGCATGTTTAGATTTAATTGATTATCATACAAAGGTCTGACCAGACTTAAGAGAAACTCCCTTTAGGGGGACAGTACTTATCTATAGATAGTTCCTCCCGGATGATTGAGGGGGGGAAGAAAAAGACAAAATAGGTATTCAGTAACTGATGGAAAAACTCTTGAAAAAATATTGTCAGGAAATTTGCCTAATAATGGGTCTGCCCAAACTTGTGAGCTATTTGCACTCAGCCAAACCTTAAAGTACTTGCATAACTGGAAAAGAAGCGTCATACCCATGCTGATTCTAAGTATGCCTTCAGGGTAGATCATACCTTTGGAAAAATTTAGACTGAACAAGGTCATATTAATAGCAAAGGCCAAGACCTGGTCCATAAGGAATTAATCCCCCAAGTATTAAATAACGTTCAGTTGCCAAAAGAAGCTATTGTCCATGTCCCCGGACACCAGAGGAGCTTTTCTTTTAAAAGTCAAGGGAATAACCTAGCAGATCAGATAGATACACAGGCTACCATTTCTTACCTGTACAACTGGCCTGCTTTATAGCTAGGTAAAACCTAGGGCACATAGAGTTAAATGCTGAAATAAGCCAGACCTTATCTGCACTTCTCTCTAGGTCCAGGCCCTACACCTAGCATATAATTAGAATCCCAAACTTACATTTTCAACAAAAGTAAAGCTTGCTAAAAGTTAACAGCGTAACATATATTATCCTAACTTCTCATCTTGCAGCTTTAGGCAATCTAGTCCACAGACATAAAGGAAGTTTGCTTCAGGAAAAAAAACAGAGAACAGTTATCATCTTTAACATTAAGAAAAAAAAGAGTCTATAAAAATCTTACCTTATGGTCAGACATTAAAACTGGATAAATATGTCTACAAGGTTTTATTAAAATTAAGTTTAACATTAATAGCACACTAATTAAAGGTAAAATGTAGCTTGTCTGGTATAAAATCATACAGGAAGCACTGTTAAATATAAAATGGTGCTTAGCTTTCTTTGGTCTAAAACTAATAAAAACAGGTGCTAAAGAGAATTCAGAAGGAACATAGATATTGCCAGACAAGAGAGAAATGTTATCTAAATACCTTATGAGGAAGATTTTGGTCCAACTGCATCAAGGGACACATTGGAGACCCCAAGCCATGTATGATGCAATCCTCAGAGTTTATGAATGTATAGGAATTTATATTTTGGCAAGACAAGTTACAGATTGTTGCCTACTATGTAAAAAGACTAATAAACAGACCCTCAGAAAGCCACCTTTTGGAGGAAGAAATCCAGGATTAAGTCCATTCCAAAGTATCCAAGCTGATTACACCAAAATGCCTCTAATAGATCATCTAAAATACCTCACTCACTGGGTCAAAGCTATCTCCTTTTCAAATGCAACAGCCAATAATGTAGTCAAGGCTCTAATTAAAATATAGTACCCAGGTTTGGACAAATAGAAAATATTGACTCAGATAATGGTACTCATTTCACCGCACACATCATCAAACAGCCATCCCAAACATTAGACATTGGATGGGAATATCATACTCGCTGGTACCCACCTTCATCAGGGGGAATAGAAAGAATGAATCAGACTTTAAAGAACCACTTAGCCAAATTGGTTCTGGAGACTCGGTTACCATAGACCAAGTGCCTTCCTATTGCCCTGCTGAGAATCTGAACTGCCCCATGGAAAGATATTAGTCTTTCTCTTTACGAGATGCTCTGTGGATTGCCCTAGTTACACTCCACTGGTAATATTCCTACCTTTGAAACAAAAGATCACCTTTTTTTTTGTTTTTGAGGTGGAGTCTCACTGTCGCCAGGCTGGAGCGCAGTGGCATGATCTCCGCTCACTGCAACCTCCACCTCTTGGGTTCAAGCGATTCTCTTGCCTCAGCCTCCCGAATAGCTTGGGACTACAGGCATGCACCACCACGCCCAGCTAATTTTTGGGTTTTTAGCAGAGACAAGGTTTCACCATGTTAGCCAGATGGTTTCAGTCTCCTGACCTCATGATCCACCCACCTTGGCCTCCCCAAGTGCTGGGATTACGGGTGTGAGCCACCATGCCTGGGCCAAAAGATCAATTTCTGAAAAAGTATGTATACTTGATCTGTCTTCTACTTTCTCTGAAAACTAAAGCTCTCTTAGCACAGGTGCTGCCCCTAGAGCTCCCAGAGCATCAGCATCAACCTGGGGATCACATCCTCATCAAAAGCTGGAAAAAGGAGAAGCTAGAACTGGCCTGGGAAGGACCGTACTTAGTGCTCCTAACTACTAAAACTGCAGTCCAGACAGCAGAGAGAGAGGATGGACCCATCACACCCAAGTCAAGAAAGCGCCACCCTCTCTGGAGTCATGAGCCATAGTCCCAGGGGAAAACTCTGCCAAACTCCGGTTCCCTTATGTAAGTCAGTTTTATGGTATGAGGGCTGGAGGTTCAGGAACAGACCGATATATTGGATTCTTTAAATTACGTTTCGTTAATCCCACACCGCCTACACCTTCCCTTAAGCCTTCTTCCAAAACCTCTCACAACAAAACGGTTGTTCCTCCTCCATCTAATAACAAGACCAAGGTGGCTATTGTAGAGGTTAAAGACCTAAAACAAACTTTGGCAATTGAGACAGAATATCAAGATGTGATTGCCTGGCTGAAATGGATCAAATATTCTGTCCACACTCTAAACAAAAGCGATTGTTATGCTGATGCACACAGCAGGCTAGAGGTCCATGTTGTCCCCTTTCCACGAGGATGGTCCATGGTAGCTCTTTTCCAGGATTCCACAGCCTGGGGTAACAAGTCATGTCAAGTTCTCTCTCTGCTATATCCCGAAGTTCGACACCCTGTGGGTCAGCCCCCGAGGGCCATCCAGCCTCGTCTCCTGACTCACTTCGTGTCTCTCACAACAAGGATAAAACTTAGCATTCCTTAGAGACCTGAAAGGATGCAGTGAGCTTAAGACTTTTCAAAAGCTTACCTATCAGTCAACCCTTGTTCATCCCCAAGCAGATGAATGGTAGTATTGCGATGGACCTTTACTGCACACTCTGCCAAGTAGCTGGAGCAGCACTTGTGCTGTAGTCCAATTGGCTATCCCTTTCACCCTGGCATTTCATCAACCAGAGAGAGGAAAAATACAACATCATAAAACAAGGAAAGTCCCTTATGGGTCTTTCAACTCTCACGTTTATTTAGATGCAATTGGAGTCCCATGAGGAGCACCAGATAAATGTCAAGCCCGAGATCAAATAGCTGCAGGATTTGAGTCAATATTTTGGTGGGTGACAATTAATAAAAACTTGGATTGGATGAATTACATTTATTACAACCAACAGTAGTTTATTAACTATACTAGGGATGCTGTTAAAGGAATAGCTGAGCAATTAGGACTACTAGCCAGATGGCTTAGGAAAATAGGATAGCCTTAGACATAATATTAGCAAAAAGAGGAGGAGTGTGCATCATGATTAAAACTCAGTGTTGTACCTTCATCCCAAACAACACCGCCTCTAATGGAAATATAACAAAGGCCAAGGTCTAACTGCTCTGTCCAATGAGTTAGCCAAAAACTCAGGAGTAAATGACCCCTTCACAGAGTGGCTAGAAAAATGATTCTGTGAATGGAAAGGAATCATAGCCTCAATTCTTGCTTCTCTCGCCGAGGTAGTAGGTGTATTCATTCTTGTTGGGTGTTGTGTCATACCATGCCTCTGTGGGTTGGTGCAAAGACTCATAGAGACAGCACTTACTACAAACCTCCCTTAACTCTCCTCCACCTTATTCAGAGAAACTTCTTCTTTTGAAGAATCAAGCAGAATAATGAATCCAAAACATGTTAAGGAAGTTTGAAGAGGGAAAAAAAAACTATAAAATCAAGAGAGGGAATTGCAAAAAGTAAAAAGTTTCTCTCCAAAAATTCCCTTTTTGTTAAAGAATAAATAATAAGGGTTAGAAATAAGTTTCTTTTAAAAACTAACTTTCTTCAAGCTTCCTTGATTTTTATTAATAACTCTGTTAAGTCCTATGTAGCTGTTAAATACAGTAAGAGAATAAGTACATTCTATGTCCTTGTACTTTAACCAGATTATTCATTCTGACCTATAGCCTGCTCAGACATGTCCAAACATACCCAGGCATTTCCTGGCTTACAGCCTTTGCCTCTTGTTTATTTGGAAATATTATTATTCTCCTAGTTTCCTGTAAATAACCCCCTTCCTTTCTTTGTTCTCCATCGTGTATTTACCTATTTAGGAAAGTTTTACATTTTTAGCCAATCAGGATCAGTCTAGATTGTGCCATTCAGCTCCAGCCAATGGAGACAGCACACAGCAGTGAGGACCCGATGTGTCAGTGATAAAAATATCTGTTTTTCTTTGTTCAGGGTGCTCTTGTGGCAATCAGGCTTCCAAGAAGCACCCTTTCTGCAGAAAGTAAAATTGCCTTGCTGAGAAAATTCTTTGAGCACTAGTTCTTCTTTTTGGCACCAAGGAACAAGCATTTTTCTTCTAACACTTATCCTTAGCTTGTCTTGTTAATTGGCAACATGGCATGTCTGTCAGAGAGTGCTGCCTCAACTGCTCTGATCTTTAATTTCTGTAATCTTATTTAGGTTTTCCATTGTTGATGAAGTTTTTTCAAAAACTTCAACATGGAATATGTTTGGTTGGCTCTTATCTTTTCCAGCAATTTGGAAGGTACCCATTCTCTCTTAAGTTCTGCCTGTTGTGCCTCAAAGTTTTTCTTAAGATTGTCAGCAAAGGTTCATTAGTGTTTGAATGCGCTCGGATGTTCTTTCGGATTATTTCTGCAAACTCTCCCCAGAAACTCAGTGGCATAGAACTGCCTCTCCCCTTCCAACATGGTCCAGGCTGCCTTGGACAGTGGAACACATTGTAAATCACAGCCTGTCTGCTCCTAGATCAGACTTCGTTAGTGGATCAAGGCATCTTGTCTCACTCAGGCGGGCCTTGGTTTCAGAATAAGCCTCACTGAGGTGAATGGGCATCTACCACTGTTCTACTAGAGTTGGCACCTGGGAGGAAACCAGCATCCCATTCCTGGGCTAGCATTTTTCTTGCATATATTATCCCACTTAATATGTAAGACTTCTCACTTTTGTGCATATAAGATACTTTGGCAACTATTTGGAAATAACCCACTCCTTGCTTACATTGCCTAACTAGCTATGCCAATGGTCTTTAAAAAAAAAAAAAAGAATGGCTGATAAGCTTTAAGAATGACATCTTTTTGGTCTATACGATGACTAACTGTTAGGAGCATTTAGGGGAGATTTCTTTGTCATTTGGGGTGGAATTCAGCCGTATCTCCTAAGTGGCAGAGTGGCTCTGGAACTAAGTCAGGATGTTTTCAGAAATCTCAAAATAAATGCCCTGTGGTGAGAACTACCATGTCTTAATAATAAAATGGTTGACTATTAGCTATCAGTCTAATTATAGCGTTCAGACTGGAGTTATTAAAATGAGTAGCACAGCCATGTGACCGGCATTACCTCCTATATAGAGAGAAAATCTTGAATGTTTATTCAAAGGAAATGGGTGAAAATTTACGTGACATTTGGACATAAAACATCTGCCATCCTATGAATTAGAAAAGTAATGAGTCTTGGATGATGTGTCAGTTATCTTTATTAAATCCAGTTCTCAGCACCTGGTAGCATCTAGTGCTCAGTAAATGCTTGATGAATGAATTAAGTGAATGGAATATCACTACATCATAGTTCAGCTGTAAATAAATAAGATAAAATGATTTGGCTTATGGAAAATGACTTGATTTTATTATCTCAATTTTCAATACAACCGAATTGCCCAGTTTCTAGGATTGTAAGTAACAGGGGAATGAGATGTATAGGAATGATGCATTGGGTGAATGTTCATTAATTTATTAGTGGGATTAGTGTCATAAGTAGATTTTTTTTTTTGTCAGTACATCTTCTGAAAGGTGTCTTTTCTTACCTTTTTCTAAATCTGAAATACATTTCCAACATCTTTGTATATTCAAGGACTCTCTTATGGCATTGTACTCATAGAATGAGAAACATTTACACTTCCTGAATGAGGGTTCATCTCTTTAACTGTGGCTTACTGTCCTTCCTGTTGCCTATTGTTACATAGTCTTAAGTCTCGTTAGCCATTGAATAGCTCCTCTTGGATGACTAAGTGAATTCCAGAAATTTGGGGGGGGATTCGCCAATTGCACACTGAACAGTCCAACCTTGTTTTATTTATTTATTTTTAGGCATGATGTGGATATCCTTTAGAAATTAACAGAATTGTATGCCCTGGCTTGCAGTTGTTATTTCAGGGCACCTTTTCAGTACTGTTTGTGACAGTTTTGAGAGAAGCATTGATTCTTAACACTGGACCAAATCCTGGAGTCTTCAGCAATGACGGCCACCATTTGGGGGAATAAGTGTATGTTGCTAAGTGCCTAGAAACCACTTCAAATACCTGTTTTAAGAATCTTGCCACAGTCTGTTTAAATATAGTTTTTTCAAAATAGATTTTTAATGGTTATCTTCTGAATAGCTTGGATTTGCAATTGAAGAGGAAAGCAGCTCTTTAAAAAAAAGTAAATTATATCAGAAATGGAAAAGTATCTAATTCTGTGTGATGGTTGCTATGGTGATGATTGAATGTAAATTTCAGTTTATGGAAAACCCTGTTTAGGTTTTGATTAGAGACCAGAGGTGAGGCTTGGGGTCAGTTGGTGAAGTGGCTAAAAAGCATTTACTAATGGGGTGAAAAGAAAAAAGAATGACGGGGTCACACGCAGCTCGCCCCCACCCAGGTAGCAGTTGGCACAGGCTTATCTCATCATGGGGAGGCGGTACAAATTAGAGCAGGGAAGGTAGAAAGGTGCTTCTCTTCTCTCTTGATTTCTACCTTGAGGAAACTGAAGGAGAGCTTCCTTGGAGAGACAGCGGCTCCTGCAAAGGTGTACTCCCATGTGCCAGTGTCATTGGTTTGTGGGGTAGGCATTTGGTATGTGGGGAAGGAGCTTCAGGCATCAGATGCAGGAGCTGGACTCAGCCATGTTGATGACCCTCCAGTCACAATTCCCATCTTTTGAGTACCTGCTCCAGCAAGAAGGAAAAAAATCAGCAGAGGAGTAATAACATTGAGTTACCCTAAAGCTTCAATCGTTAGAAATTTAAATTGACCTGGAGAGCAGGCTTTGCCTCTTAAGTGATTTAATCTAAAAAGGGATGCTTAAGGATCAGGAGTAACTGATCTGTGAACAGGTGTTTGTTTATTGCAATCTTACTCTGTAGTGATTGCTACTTCATTCTCTAGGATTTGTGTGTAGTTTCTCTAATAGTGCATCACCCCCTTGTTTCTCTCTCTCTGTGTGTGTAGATATATACATATATTTGTGTGTGCATAC